GTATTGTTGTGCTCTATTAATGTAAATCTATTGGCAGTATTTACTAAAGGTTTTACTGTTTCCGAGATGCCTGAAAAAGCAAACAGTGTGTCTGCCTCTCTAAGAGAGACTTAAAGTAAAATGTGTGTAGTAGATCTAGTCAATTTTTAATAAGCTTGTGTGGATTATATGTTTAAACAAATACATTCAAAATTTCAATATATTTACTTAGAGACAAGGCACAGGCGATGTCCAGGAATATCTCATGGATGCCCTTGATGCGGCTCTCCAGGTCCAGCAGCTCCTGGTGACGTTTCTCAACCTGGGAAAGAGCCGAGCGCGCCGTTCTGCCTTCAGTCACGATGTTGTCGTTGAAGATGTTCCACTGACCTTTCTCAATCATCTCCTCCACCTCCTCTCCCGTCACCTCGCGCCCCATTATCTCCATTTGCCTCTGGATCTGAGCTTTACAGCTTTCCCGGTGGCTCATCTCGGCCTCGTTGTAGTCAAACATCGCATCACGAAAGCCATTACTGAGGCAGGCGTACTGGGTTCTGGCGATACGCGTCACAGCAGAATTCGTGCCGTGCGTTTCTTCTAGTTTCTGCGTCATGTCGTCCATTTTATGTAGACGTGCTAGCACATCCTCAGCCCGCGCCTTGATATCAGCTCCAATAGTGTTAGAGTCCTTTTTAATGGTGCTCATGGTGGTGGTGGCTTGGAACATGCGGGAGTTCTGCTCACGAAGCCTCTTAACCTCCAGGCGGATGAGCTGGATGTCTTTGTGGATGCCTTGTGCCTGGGTAAAGATTTCGCCCAGAGCAGGGCTGTTGTCGCTAAACACCACTGCTTCATGAGGCAACTCATCCTCCAGGTCAACGTTACTGAAGGAGTCAGAGACAACGGACTCCGCATACTCCATTGGCTCCATGGGGCCGCTGGACAGCTCCTGGAGGTGAGTTAGTCTGTCCCTCATGGTTGGTCTAGGGAACAAGTGAAGGTTAGAGGTCAAGATGTTTTTCTCTCTCTCTGATTGCTGTTGATCTAACATACAATGGTAAAGCTGACCAATTTAAATGGGGCCTATCTCAATGATGCAACACTAAGCAACTCAAGACACCCCCCCCCCTTTTTTTTTTTTGTTCATAACTAAACACCTTCACACCTTGTCTTTTAACCTGTTTCATACCAGGTTAAAAATATTTTCCTTCTTCCTTTACATATTATCCACCCAGCACCAATCACTGGCCTAACAGGTTCTCTAAAGAATAGTAAGAGGTGTTCCTTCCTACCAGACTAGTTCCTTCAACTTAGGATCTTTCTGTAACTAAATTCATTTTGACTTTAAAAACTCACAGACAGAATTATATATCAGAGTCTGAGAAGCAGTCTAAGTAAAAGATCTTTATAGTGTGAAAAAAGGACGGTGGTGACATCATTTAAAGGCATTTCTGGCACTGCCACTACACCCTTCCCGTCCCGATTACCCTGTCTGATTTTGTCACTGCTTCTAGTTGAGAATAACTGATAATCTATATCATTGATCACAACAGCCTTTATACAATTTTCCAATTAAGATGCAATCTAGTGGATTAAATGTGTATTATAAATAAATACATGTGGTCCTTATCATCATGTAGGATTTTTGTTGTTTTGTTGGTAGATGTATTCAACACTTAACTCATTGTTTCAATATTCAGAGATTTTTTAAATCTAGGAAATATTTTTGATTTGGGCACAATGTATCATAAAGTACAATAAAAATGTAAAATAACAATGATAATAGTAAAAAATAATAATTAAACAATTGTGGAAGAAAGGTGTACGTTTTTCCACAAATGTATGGACATGGTTTTAGGCTGTGTCTATGTCACGCTAGTGTCTATTTCTACTACGATAAATCTCGTTTACTACTAAAAACCCAAAACAAAAACAAATTTAAAATCACTTTTCATTTGTCTGATGGGCCATAACTTAAACTTCATCTTCCTTCGCCGTTCATGAGCAACGAGATGAAATAATCTCGTGAAGATTAAAGGAAGGATCCTCACCTGTTTCGCTTTTATGTCCACAGATATCAAAGTTTGTACGTTGCTGTCAGGTGGCCGCCGTGCCTCAGCAGCATCCTCCTGTTCTGATGTCGACTGCTCCGGGCCGTGAGCACAACAATGGGCCCTACATGCGTAACGCTGCTATATCTGGAACTAAAGCTGGAATTTTACTGTGTTATTTCTTTTTTGTCAAGCTGACCAACTGCGCCTCGCCATGCAACTGCTGTGAGATGTGACTTGAGGAATGAAGCCCGGTCGGTTTGGTTTGCAGTGACGACGCCAAGGTGTGAGCAGCGGGTGTGTAACACTCAAGTGAGTGCCAAATGCAACTTGGCGTCTATCTTATTGTACAATTAAGCAAAACTGTTGGCATGGTACCTTCGAGTTCACCATTTTTAAAGGGGGTTGCGGTTAAAAACGCATTGGCGACACTTGGCCACGCACTGCGTCTTTGACCTAACATCTAAAGCCGCGGTAGGCTACCTGACAGTTTCCGAGATGAGTGAGTGAAGCCTGAGCTGATTTTTAGCTCACGTCAAGATTTTCCCAGCCACGCCCAAATGACTTGCACAGTACCGGCTTGTGTTCGTGCAGGAGAGATCAGACTTGTGTGGTTTTACCAGCTTCTTGCACTGTACCTTGACTAGAACACACAATAAATTGTGTCCATTAACAGGTTGGTTAGGTTCCAGACATTCAAGCACTATATATATACTAATAAACATACGAAACTAATAAAAACAGTATTGTTGTGCTCTATTAATGTAAATCTATTGGCAGTATTTACTAAAGGTTTTACTGTTTCCGAGATGCCTGAAAAAGCAAACAGTGTGTCTGCCTCTCTAAGAGAGACTTAAAGTAAAATGTGTGTAGTAGATCTAGTCAATTTTTAATAAGCTTGTGTGGATTATATGTTTAAACAAATACATTCAAAATTTCAATATATTTACTTAGAGACAAGGCACAGAACACAGGAATAAAAAAAACCGTTTAATATTAAAAAAGTAATTAAAAGACAGTAAAACAGATTAGTGCATAAGTAGTGTAATCCCTGCATAACCTATATAAAATTAAATCTCTGTTAAAATGCTGTATTATTGCCACCCTTTCAGGGGTCTGGATGAACGGCTTCTGAAAACCAGCCAAAGAAGTTTAACAGTTCAGTCAGACTACAAATAATTGAAGAATAATTCAGCCTTTCTTCAGCTACAGCAGACATTTTACTGAGTTTTATTTCTTTTCTGAAACTGGAAAAAAATGTTTCTCAAAGTCACAGTTTAAAAAACAACAACAAAAAAAAACATCAGACACAAAGTAGACAAATCCCCTTGGGGCTGCGACAGGAAGAGTATCCGACATTTTTAAAAAACAAAACAAAACATTGAAAAAAAATTAGCCAAATCAAGCATCTGCTGTGGCGACACTTTGTGAATGTGGGAGGAGTCAAAATTAGCTTTAATAGCAAATCCCTCACATGATGAGACTGAGCCAGCTTAAAAACCAAAAAGTGTCTTCAGCTGCTATGTCTTTTTAAATATTCTTTTGAATGGGTTGTTGCGGTCATGGCGTTTGGCCCTGCCAATTTTAAAGAGAGCATCCTGCACGCCCTCATCGGTTTTCTGAACGTTGGTCTGGATGGAGTCCAGCATGTTGCCCTGCTCCTCTACCAGCACGGCGATGTCCAGGAATATCTCATGGATGCCCTTGATGCGGCTCTCCAGGTCCAGCAGCTCCTGGTGACGTTTCTCAACCTGGAAGAGAGCTGAACGCGCCGTTCTGCCTTCAGTCACCACGTTATTGCTGAAGATGTTCCACTGACCTTTCTCAATCATCTCCTCCACCTCCTCTCCCGTCACCTCACACCCAACTATCTCCATTTGCCTCTGGATCTGGGCTTTACAGCTTTCCCGGTGGCTCATCTCGGCCTCATTGTAGTCAAACATCGCATCGCGAAAGCCATTACTGAGGCAGGCGTACTGGGTTCTGGCGATACGCGTCACAGCAGAATTGGCACCATGTTTTTCTTCTAGCTTGCACGCCATGCCATCCATGTCACGCAGGCGTGCTAGAACATTCTCAGCCCGCGTCTTTATGTCAGCTCCAATAGAGTCCCTTTTAATAGTGGAGGTGCCATGGAACATGCAGGAGCTCTGCTCACGAAGCCTTTTAACCTCCAAGCGGATGAGCTGGATGTCTTTATGGATCCCTTCTGCCTGGGAAAAGATTTCTGCCAGAGCAGGGCTGTTGTCCAGGTCGACTTTGCTGAGGGACTTGGAGAGAGTGGAGTCTGCATTCTCCACTGGCTCCACAGGGCCGCCGGACAGTGACTGCAGGTGGCTCAGTCTGTCCCTCATGGCTGATCTGGAGATCAAGTGAAGGTTATAGAGGTCAAGATGATTTTCTATTCACTTAACAAACATTAGTAAAGCTAATTCATTCAAGTAGGTGAAACATTTATGTTTGAATTTAAACACACTTGGCACCTTGCTTGCTTCTCATATCTGATGAAAATAGTTTTCCTTCTTCCTTCAAGTATAATCCACCCACCACCAATCACTGGCCTAACAGGTTCTCCAAAGAGTAGTCAACAATGTTCCTTTTCACCAAAGAGAGATTCATTTTGACTTTAAAAACCGAGCTCTAGATTCTGCATATCAGTTAGAGTTATATCTTGGATAAACAAACTAAATATTTCCAATGCATAAAGTACACTTGTGATAGCATTAAAAGGCATTTCAGTCGTTGGCGCTACACAGCAAATATATGGTTGCAACGCTATAAAATATAAGAAAAAACCCCAAATGTTTTAGAAGAAATGATAACTTAGACATATCTGATCTTTTCTTACATCTCATACAAATGACTGCCTCCTGTGCTCAGTATCTATCACCATGTAATTTCATAAGTTACCCATACTTTCTGTCAAACCACAAAATCCCACTGTTACCATTTCATATGCAACAAGGTCAAATAATCATGCGCACAGCGACAAGATTAAAAGAAAGATCCTCACCCGTTTGCTCTTTATCTCTACAAATCAAACTTTGGCCATCATCTGTAGTCTACTAATCCGGACTGTGAGCACAAAAAACAGTCCCACGTGTTACCAGTGCTGCAGGCTCTGAGGTAAAAACTGAAAATCTGCTGTGCTTTTTGTCAGGGTGCACAATTGTGACACTCAGTCACAGTCATGTGACTTTAGGAATGAAGACAGATCAGTTCAACCTTGACCTGCACCACAGGAGCGTCAGTTGTGTAGGACAGCTTTGTAAACATAAACTTGGACCTAGACTTTAAATCAACACACCAGACTTTTTCTGTTCCCACACACAATCTGGTGAATCACCGGTTGATTCACCATCAGCAGCTTTTCTCCTGGCCCCTGATCCTCTGAGTCTCTGTCACAATGAGATTTCCCATCAGTTACAAATCCCAAATTATCAAAAGAAATAAAATGGTTCTGGATCAGACATGGGTACGAGAAATCTAGATAATGCGCAGTTTAAACCGCTCTTTTTAAA